AGCGGTTCAAAACAGCATAGCAGTTCAAAGACAGCTAAAGAAAGTTCTTTATTGCCCCATTCAAAACGAAGTTCGAAGGATGCTGATAAATTGAAGTCAAAGAGTGGTGTTGGTCCACAATGCAGTGATCTCAAACAGAAAGGCAAGCTGGATTCAGAAGGGAAGGTTTCGAACTGCGAAACTGCAAGGAAAAGAGCAACAGAAAGTGATGAACTTGTCAAGCACATGTCTAATTTGCCAGGTTATCTACTGCGTACCAATAGAGTTGAAAACTTTCAAGAGAAAGCTTTCAATGTTGGTGTTCTAGATTGGTCTCGACTTGAGAAGTGGAAGCACAAGAACAAGCATATCCCCGTATTGCCTAGTAATTTCACATTATTCAAAAGCATCGAATCATCATCAAGACCAGCGATGAAACTATCAACCAGTGTTGGCAGCAAAGAAAAACTCAATGATAAGAGAAGTTTGCCTTCTCCATGCATCAGGCCATCTTATAGTGAATCCCTTCCTGAAAGTGCCAAACTTCCTTTTCATGATGTCAAACGACTTGAATCGTCCAAAAGTGTAACTAAGAGCATTGGAGATGAGAAAAAAATTACACCCCAGCAATTCGAGTCCTTTGGCAAAACTCACTCAGATATATCGCTTGAAAAGGAGAGGAGGAATGACTATAGTAAAAGAACTTCACAAGTAAAAAATTTTGCCTCAAACACGAGGCTCCAAGGAATCTCATCTGTTCCTAATGAAAATGCAAGTGGTAGTAGGGATGATGGAGTTAAGCAGAACATGGAGGGTATGCAAAAGCATAACCAAAAGAAAAAAGAGAGAAATCATCAGTCCAGCTCTGATATGGGACAGCCATCAGTAAAATCAAAAGGCAGATGGGTCTCAACCAGTTCTAAGAAAATGAGTTTCACCTCTAGTGAAACCAGGAAAAAGGTGGATCTGCTGCATGAACCAGATTTTGACATTGATCGTAAACACTGCCATAGCAAGCCAAGTAATATTGTGCTGCTGTGTCCCCAAGAAATTCCCCAATCAAGTTCTTCAGAGGATTTTCAGCTTTCTGAATCAAGAACATCCTCAGACGAAATCTTCTCAGAATCAACCAAAAGTAGTTTGTCATACGTTTCCCTTCCTGAAAATGTTTACTCTGAAGATGGATGTTCTGAAATACCACTATCAGGTTCACTGCGTTCTGTAGTTGACCATTCTTCTACTTTGGAAACAATGCAACACAGAATTAGTGCTGATCTTGGTATAGATCATTCTTCTGTTTTGTCTGAGACACCAGCTTCCATAATAAATAAGATGTCTAGTCTGCAATCTGTTGGTGCTTGCCTTGAAAAGGATATGTTAGACACTAAGCTGAGAGATCGGTATGCTTTTGGTAAGTTGAAGGAATCACTAGACCAAGAAACTGCTGAGATGACAGCTCAGAAGGAAATGAATCCATCCCACAATCGTCGGTTTAGCTTCAGCTTAAGTCGGATTGGAAGAAGTTTCAGTTTCAAAGAGGGGCCAACGCTTCCACAACTTAGCTCCATGCATGTCAGCGCAAAGTCAGGTCCGGTGACGCCACAAACTTCTGTTCGTTGGGACAATCCAAGCAAAGACGCTAATAGTCATAACAGAGCCAGGTCAAGCCCCTTGAGGAGGTTGTTAGACCCTCTATTGAAGCACAAGGCATCAGACAAACACCATTCAGCTCAAAGCAGTCAGGCACTAGAAGGAAGCTTGAATTCAAGCTTCAGGACTATTGGTATCAATGAATCACTGCTGGCTGAAAAGAGTAAAGGATCACCAGTTCAAGGTCTCCTGCAGCTTACAATAAAAAATGGAGTGCCCTTGTTTAAATTTGTGCTCAACAATGAAAGAAAGATTTTTGCTGCTACCAGGAATAGTTTAGCATCACTGGAGAAGGGTGATTTAGGCCGCAGTTTTACATTCTACCTGGTTAATGAAATTAAGAAAAAGAGTGTTGGATGGATGGGTCATGGAAATAAAGAAAAAAACTGTGGCTATGCCTACAATGTTATTGCCCAGATGAAGCATTCTAGCTCTAAAATCACAGAACCAACCAATCAAAACTCCAATAGAAAGCATATGGTTAAAGAATATGCTCTAGTGGGTGTTGAAATTGGCCAGACAGATCAAGGACCACCTAAGTTCATCCAGAGCGCGGAGCTTGCAGCTCTTGTTATTGAGACCTCATGTGAAAAAGGCAATGAAGGACTGCATGGTGATGACAACATGCTAAAGAAAGAATGCTCAAAGTGCTTGGCAGATGAAAGATGCCTGTGCAGTTCTGGACAAAATGATGCCTCTGGTTGCACTACAGCTATACTTCCGGGCGGTGTACATGGTTCACCAAACAAAGGCGATCCTACACCATTGATCTATCGATGGAAAACCGGGGGATCATGTGATTGTGGGGGTTGGGACATTGGTTGCAAATTGCTTGTGCTCTCCAACCAGAAGCAGAGTTCAAGTATTCCAAAGAGCTATAAACCTTATCATGATCGTTTTCAACTTTTTGTTCAGGTATAGCTTTATAGTTCTACATGAGGGCATGCTTGTATACAATTATAATATTGTGGACTTCCCATTTATATGTTATTATCCTTATCATTACTTTCAGGAAGGAGCTGAGCAAGATACACCACTTTTCACTTTGTTGCCACTGAAGGATGGTTTCTACTCGGTTGAATTCAACTCAACAATAACTCATTTACAGGCATTTTTCATTTCAGTTGCCGTTTTAAGCTGCCAGAAACTGCCAGGTTCCTTGGAAATGGGTAGCATGCATGAAGAGATCCTTAAGGAACCAAATTCCAATAACAACAGCAAACATCAGGGGAAAGCACCTTTAAAATATGCTCCAATGCCACCACTATCCCCTGTTGGCAGAGTTTAAATTCACAAGATGTGTTTTTTTTTTTTTAGTTGTTAATACTTTTAAGATCTTCAAGTAGCTGAGCAATAGCAAGTTATTGCAATCAATTGTGTCATAAATGTGATTCTTGCACTTGAATTTGTACACTTTTATTTTACACCTATCTTTTATATGAACAAGGGATAGATGGGGAAAAAAGGAAAATGTGATTTTTTCTTCCTCTACCTTGTTTAGTGTAAAAGGTGAGTATAAAATGAAAGCGTAGAAAATCAAGTCCAAGGAGTAACATTTTTGTTTCTCTATTCTCTTCAGTTTTCCTCCCATACATGCAAATCCAGTATAGAAATAGACAGATAGTCCATTCCACTGGAATATTGTGGCAGAAAATGGGATGGTTGTTGTATTCTGGTAATCATTGTACAAAAGAAACCTCTGCAGCAACACCATCTTTGTACAAAACGAAACTTAAATAAATAAAATCAGCAGGGTTATCATCTGCACTACTTGAACACTTTAAAAAGAGAACTGAAACTATAAAATCAGAAATCCTCTTGACAACTAACTGAATATTATTAAGATGGGGATAATCATGTATATAGTTTCACTCATCTTCGAGATTGTATGAGTTGAACTTAGTGTTTGACAGTTTAAAAATCTTTCAAATCTTCAATTTTCGTTGATTTTAAATCTTTTTCACTAATTTGATTTTCATTCTGTGCTAAACAATCAAAGTGCATTTAACAAAATTTTTAAAAATGCCCTAATTTTGAAGACTAATTTGTACTTGCAATAAGCATTGATAATATTATTTATTATTTTTTTACAGTATCAATTATTGAATAGTTTTGCTTTCAAATTTCAAGCATTGCAATATATTAGGAGGAAAGAGGCGCTTTATATTTTTATATATTTATTTAAAAATAAAAATAAAGATAATATAAGTTACAAAATAGGTGATTTGTTATTGAAAAATGCGAGTAATTTGAAAAAGTTATAAGAATAAAATAGTTTACAGAAATATGTACATAGAAAAGGAAATATTTCCTTTATTTGTACAAATAAGTTTGTTAGAGTAATTTATACTATAAAGTTTAATTACATAAAAACTATAAAAAAAAATGGTACTTCTATATATTTTTTATTAAAAAAATAATGATAATAAAAGTTACATAATAATAGATAATTTGTAATTAGAGTGTGAGACGTTCGATATAAGATAAAATAATCCAAAGAAATGTGGACAAAGAGGTTATCCCAGATGAATAGATTCAAATGTGTTTTTATACAATGATTACCAGAATAGATTCACAAGTGTACAAATGAGTTTATATCTAGAACCGAATATGTTTATGTATGAAACCAAAGTTTTTTTACATGAAATTAATTGCAAAACTGTTTAATTGTTCCATAAGAAAAACAATTTATTTCCTAGGTAAAAGAGATGGTTTCTTCCTATCCTGAATATTGGTTTTAGCACATCTTGATAATCAGAGTTCAAAATGGTGTTTGCTATGGATTAAAGAATCAGACGGGTAATCATTAATGCTAACCAGACTTCAACAACCAAATAAAAGAAGTTGAACCAGTATTCAACTTCAGTTCATCGGGAAAAAATAAAAGGGATTTGTCATGAAGAGTCTTAGTTGGTCAAGTATAACAAAGCTTGAAATACAAGTATGCGTAAAGTACAAGTAATGTTTGTGTCAACAGTATAACGCAAAAATATAGACCAAGTTAAGTCGGGAATTGACAATGCAATTGAATATTTCGAAGCAACTAACCATAGTCACCATACTAGCAACCTCTTTGGAATTTAAGGCCTGGAACTTTGATTTTTGGGTACATGAGTTTAAACACAAGTTCGAACAACATAAACCCTACATGTACAAATGCTTTAGCTAAAACTGGAGGCACTTAATCACAGATGCATTAATCCACATGCCACAGCTTCTATAAATCATTTGCGCATTCAAGTTGCAATGTTAAACTCAAAGAATCTTTGGAGATGAGTGAACCTTCAGCACCAACCATAACAAAAATGGGTACAAACTCAGGAAGAGAGAAGGATCGAGGATAAGCAACAGAGTGAACTTCCTATCTATAATGCAATGTTTGATGTATTCACAGGTCTACTGGGGAAGCATGATGGATACAAATTAACCACTGTCCATCAATCTTCTCAAACACATTTGTTACAAATTGACCTCCCCATCTGCCTCCTTTTGTCTTTACAAATTCCATGCAAGTAACATACCCCATATCCCCTCTAGCATGAACTTTGATGTCTTCTAGCTTAATTTCTAGTGGAAATTCATAGTTAGCCCACACAAAATCCCAGCTCTCAATAATATCATCATAACCAGATATTCCTTTCAAACCAGGATGGACACAGCATACCTCATCCTTTTTTGCCCACAAGGCTTGCATGGCTGCAAGGTCACCAGTCCTGAATGACTCGTAAAACCGGCTATTCGCTCCAAACACTGTCGTCTTGCTTTCTTTCTGAAGGTTTTTCAGAGTATCCCTTATTTCTGCTGCTTTAGCATAATTCTCTTCAGCTATGGCATTCTGTAGCTCCTCCTCCAAAGTTTGTTCATCTACTGCAATGTTCTCGCCACCCAACATGCCCTCTGAGTCTTCACTTTTCACTTCCAGTCCTCTCCCTGAAAGAAAGCAAAGGCATTTTTAGACAATGAAGCACTAAACTTAGCAAAATTGTAAGTACTGAAAAATTGGGGCTGTAGATGCTCAGAGAATTGACCTCGAGCAAAATCAAAATGAGAGAAAAAAAACACTGGCAACTTGGCAAAAGGAACGTTCCAATGTGAATCATAAGGTTTTATGTATAGATACTTACTGAACCTTCCCATTTGCAACTTGGCAATTTGACCAGGTAAAAGACACGGTTGGTCTCCTCTTCCAAAACTTTTTCCCAAAACCAACCTATCTAGAGTCAAGGAAGGCAGAGAAACATGATGTAGCTTCTGAAAGCTATTGACGAATGAACGCGGCAAGATACTAAACTCTTTGACAGGAGAAAGTCCCTTCATTAAAAAAGTTAAAATCAATGCACTGTGTTGCGAGTGAACAAATCTACTAACAAATAAATATAAAATACAGAATCATTTAGAGGAAAGTATAACTATATCCTTATCCTCACTCCTTAGAAATCCACAATGTCAATTTCCTTTAGCTAAATTCAAGGTCATCTTATTTGCAACCATGCAATGGAAATTCTAAGCATATGTAATATACTAGCTTCCAACATAGCTAGAAATCAACCCAAGCCGACACAGTCATTGAGAAAGCCTAATTTTTTTCCAATTTTCGTTTTCAGGCAGTTAAATTAAATCAATATTCTTTCCTGAAATTCTTATCCAATACATAGTTGACCAACATACAAAATATTAAATAAGCAATTTTGGATTAAAAGAAAATGGGAAACTCACATTGAAGGATAATGAAGTTCCATAAAGCGCCATAGTTGAAATGCTTATTCCACCGAGAACTAGTAAAATGAATTTAATCAGCCAAGAAAAAAAAAATAGCAGCCGACGATGATTATCCTGAAAATAACACGAAAAAATGAGTGATAAACCTGCACTTGAGAAAGAATCAAAGCATATTTGAACTTCATAGCATAACATTGAGGTATAAAAAAATAAGCCCAAATTATCAAAAAAGAATACCAACAACACAAACAGAAATCAATTCTTCCAACAAGAAAAAAAAAAATTGGCAACGTCCAAGAACAAAGAAACAGAGTTGAACAGTCCCCATTTCTGAGATCCAACACCCAAGTACAAAATTTAACAATCAAAATATATTCAAGATTAAAAATGAAAACTTTAGGAAATTGGGGTAACGAAAAACCACATAGAATAAGGGGAACCAATTTGGGCAAGCTTGGAAACTTCAATCATCAAGTTCAAAGAAACGCAAATATAACAGAGAAAGCAATTAAATGAAGAAACAAAAAGATACAGTAACTGTTAACTGAAAGAATATCCAATAACAACACTAACAGCAAGCATTTTATAATAACCTCTGAAGGGAAAATCGATACAGTGCGTAACTAAGAGCAGAGATAATTAGAGAGAACAAGCGCAGGTGTCAGTGCCACTGTGTGCTTCTTTGATTGAACCAACAGAAGAGGGTAAGATTTTCTCTTATATATATATAAGAGGGAAAAGGTTTCTTTGTGAAACGGTGTCGTTTATTTGCATGAAAAACTAGAATCTTATTTTCTAACTTTTTTTAATGCTGTCTTGCTTTATCTAAAAATTAAAAATTGACCAAAAAAAAATTGAACAAATTAAAAATTATAAATGAAAGTCTTATTAGATTGGAGCAAAATCAAAGATGAATACTTTGTATTAAGATTATAATTTAAAAAAATTAAAACTTAATTACAAGTCTTGGTCTAATACAACGTAAACTAAATTTATACTGCACCATATAATTTTTCTAACCCAAAGTACGTATGTGAAAGAAGAAAAAATTAAATATTGTAATAAATATCATTTCAACTTTTTTAATATAATATTAATTAATTTAATTACACTTTTATTTATATTAGTGGAATTAAGATATTTTTTATCTTTATATTTTTTTTATTTAAATAAAATATAAAATATAAAATAATTTAAATATAAGATAAAAATTGAAAGTAAAAAGAAATAGAATGTTAAAATATTTTTTTTAGTTAATCAAACAGATTAATCAAAAGAAAACATTATAATATTACAAAATAAAATTAACTATTAAAAATATAAAATAAAATTCTACCATCTTTATATATTATAAAGAAAGTCAAGATACTTCATATCTTTATATTTATTTAATAAAATTATTTAAAAATTATAAATATTTATTTAATTTATTTATTATATTATAATGTTTTCTTTTGA